GATGTGGGAGGCCCAGCTCACTGTGGGTGGTGCCACCCCTGGGCAGGTGGGCCTGTGTTGCATAAGAAAGCAGGCTGAGCAGGGGTCAAAGAGAGCAAGCCTGTAAGCAGCGTTCCTCCATGGCCTGTGCTCCAGCTCCTGCCTCCGGGTTCCTGCCCTGAGTTCCTACCTTGGGCTCCCTTATGAACTGCAACCTGGGAGATGTAAGACAAATAAACCATTTCCTCCCCAAGTTGGTATTGGTCAGAGTGTTTTGTCACAGCAATGAAGAACAAACTAAGACAATATGAGAGGGGAAAAGGAAGAGAATCAAGTAAAACCTGCTCATCCCTTGCTGAGTTGTGTTATTCAGAGCACAAGCCCAATGGAGAACAAGGGAAAGATACTAGGTGTTTTCACTCATTTGTGTATGTTAAACAGAGATAAACAATTCAGACACCGCTCCCGACCTCATTAAACTTGGAGTCTAGCGCACTAAAGCTGCAAATGCAAACATTCACAGGGCCCAGGGAGGCAATGTAAATCTTCAGAACAGCCCTGGTGTGATAGGGAGGGAACTGGACTGAGAGATACACAGTCCAACCTACTGTTTTACAATGGCAATATAGATTCACTATTACTAGGTCGGCTGAATTTCTAAAAAAGCAATAGAAAAATCTCAAATTTTGTATGTGACACCTCCTGGTTTGAAAAAGGGAAATAATCAAAGACTTTCAAACATCAAAATATTAGGTGGGCCACCTGGTGCAATAGTGGCATGGATATTATGGGAGTAACCAACCACTTCCTAATTAGATTTAAGGTCTGCTTCATAGGATGGAATCCATACCTGACACTGATATTGGGACTAGGAACCTGAGGCTAGACAGGACACATGCCATAGGGGAGAGCCTAATATCTCTATTTTGCTCAATAGATATACCCATAGATTAATGCATCTCTCAACTCTCAGCAGAAAAGCCTTCCTATGATGGTGATTAACACAGAGAACCACAACTGGCCAACACGCAGAGAATAAAACACTGCAGAGTGCTTATCCCTAAATAGGGAACCTGTATTAAACTTCTACCTCCCAAGGCTCAGGGATTATTGCAAAACAGGGGGTGGAAAGATTGTAAGAGGCAGAAGAGGTGGATGACCACATGGAAACAGACTTTTCCAAACAGCTGGGCAGTTCCTCGTATGAACTTACAGAAATGGTGACAGCATGTACAAGTCCCACATAAGCTCAAGCCAGACAAAATCCCCAGCATAGACATGGGGAAGTGGGTAAGAAATCCTCCCTGAGGAAGTATGGACAACCAATGACTGCTGGGAGGGAGAGAGTCAGTCTCGTTTAGGGGTGAGACTCTTAGGAGATGGACCAGGCTCCAGTGGATGAACCACACATGAAATTTGGTTGGGGGGTAAGAGGAGATCTAAATATGATCAAAATATATTGTTTGAAATTTATAGAAAAGCTATAGAAAAAATAGCTTGTTTGGCGGGCCACACAAAGCATGTCCATGGACCAAATACAATTTAAGTTTTCATTTCCCATTTGCTACCTCTGGTCTAGTTACCAATACCTGGTACAATGAGGGGCACTTAATAGGTGCTCAAAAATGTGCTTAATGAATGCAAATGAATAAATGAACAATTGCATACATCACTGTTATCATCATAGAGAGTTGAAAACATCTGAAGAAGGTGTTTTCCAAGGTGGAGAGTAGGTACCTAAGTGAAAGAGCATTCCCGAATGGATCTTCATACGGCACAAGAAGAGCTTTACCTCTGCATGTCTTGGTGGAGATGTCAAGATAGTACTGTGGGGTGCAGCTCTCGTACTGGCACTCCCCAAAGAGCAGGACCTTGCTTGGATCCCAGCAGGAGGTGCAGCTGCCTTGTGAATCACAGCTTCGGCAATGTATGCTGCATGCTGAGCAGATTGGAAAAAGGAAATGACCAGATGATGACAACTGCAACTATGGAAGTAGGAGCAAACCTAGGCAGATGCTACACTGGAACAAAGCCCTGCTCCAACCTGCCCTTTAATAGTGGTCCATAACCGTCCTCTGTAATTGAGATGCAGAAAATATTAGCTTTATTTTCCAAAATAGAAGATAATCTTGTTTGCCCAAAGATAAATGATAAAATCCAAGGATAGAAATCCCACATCCAAATTGCTCTGTGATTCAGCAACAGAATTCACACTTTTTCTAAGGCCAATAGCTTTATTTTGAACATTTTTTAAGAAATCAAGGGATCCATGGTTTATGATATAGACACACAGTATTTCAAAATCCTACATTTTAAGATGTAGGACTTAGAGGTGCTGGGTTTACTGGCTTCCCCAATTGTAGTTCTTAGTTTCCAGGGAGGTAATTGAGGCATTGAGGGATGATGGTCCCTCCTGGTCTGCTTTCATCTCTGTAGCTTAACAGTTGACACCACTCTTTCTCTTCAGTTCCCCGGTTGGAAACCTTGAGTCTACCTGGTTCTTCCCTTTCTTTCACTTCAGACCTAGCCACTCCCTGAATTTGCTCAAACACTAAAACACAGCTTTCTAAAAGCTGTATGCTTAATGGAGAGGTATCCAAGCCCTTCTCATCCTCTCCTGGAGTACTTATGTGCTCCTCATTGGTTTCCCATACCCAGTCTGACCCCCTTGAAACCTGATTTCCTTGCATTTACCATTGATGTTTTCATTCATACTGTCTTGGCATCCAGGGTTACTTTCCCCTTACAAACTCCAAGGTTTTTGTTTTGTTTTGTTTTGTTTTGTTTTGATCTGGGAAAATTTCTAGTCATCATTTCTACAAATCTTGTGCCTCCATCTTCCTTCTGCCCATTCCTGAACATTCTAAAATACACATGTGGATCCTCTTTGCAAAAATCAGTAACTCTCTTATCTGTGACTCTAACTCATCCTTCACCCTCTCCTTCCAGAAAGCCTTTTATAGAATCTTCATTCTAGAACACGTTTCCTAGGTATGTGCTATGCTCTTACAGCAACCTAAGCATCCCATTCTTTCCTGCAGTGTGTAATTGTGTTTACTTAAGTGATTATTTCTTTGACATCTATATCCTTTAAGCTGTAGGATTCATGAAAATAAAGACCACTTTTATTTTGTTCCTTAAAATATTCCATATCACCTAGCTGGCTATCTATAATACTGTAAGTGTTCAATAAACACTTGCTACATAAATGACAGAAGCCAAATATTTTAATATAACCCACACAGAGAGACAGACATATACACACAGATATACAAATACAGGCCCATCAACACTTCCTCATTCTAAAATTTACTGTGAGTATATTTTTTAGGGAAAGTCATTGCTATGAATTCTTCTTTTGAATATGGAGACTTGTAATTTGGGGTGCTAAGAAAATTCTAGGCTGGATTTTCAAAGAGATAGTTTTGAATAATTAGAAAGGAATATTTAATTTATCTATTGGAAGTTTTTAAGGGACTAAATTTTTATATTCCTTTTTATGGCTTAATCTTTTATACACAGAGTTTGATTTGAGTAAAATACTTAATAAAAATCCCAAAGATAAACTTATAAATGCAAAAGTGAAGTAGGGTGCAGGGGCTAGAGGGATGGCCCACTCAGTAAAGTGCCTGTTGCACAAGCTTCTGGACCCGCGTTTGGATCTCCAGCACACGTGTGAAATCCAGGCATGGGCAGTGTGTATCTGTTACCCCAACAGTGGGTTGGGGGAGACTCGGGGATTTCTGGGACTTGCTGTCCGCCAGTGTAGCTGAAAAGTGAGCTCCGGGTTTAATGAGAGATCCTGTCTCACAAACAAGGTGGAAAGTGACTGTAAAAGACACACAATATCAATCTCTGGCTTCCTTCCACAAGCACATGCACACCCATCTGCACTCACAAGTACACACAAACGTGACATACATGTACACCATAGACAGATGGACACACACACACACATACACACACACACACACACACAAATGAAAGGTGACTTTGAAGGAGGTTGAAATGTATATTCAAAATGGTTGGTAAATTTTTTGTAGTTGGTAAAAAGTAATATCCCTAGTAAAATATAGTGATCAAGACTTAACATTTTATTTGGTCAGTGTTTTAATGATTACTTTAATGAAAATAAATGGATCATGACATTTAAATATGCCACATTTCCTTATATGGAAAATATGGGCAGTTCATTCTTACTAGCTAGAATAATAAGAATTCAGTTATTTTAGCTAGTGGGAACAGCAACCAAATAATCAAGTGAAATACACAGAACTCAAGAAAGTTGCACACTGATGCTCTAAAATGAACCGAATACATATGGGGTGTGAAAGACCTGCTTGGACAGCAGTTTCCAGAGACAAATCACTTGAATGTTTGACCACTCAAGAGTTTACTGTCAACTAAAACTTACATTGAGGAGTCTCCATGCACATCCGTTGGCTTTCCCTCCTTGGCATGCAGTTACAAAATGAGGCCCAAATGGCAATTCCTCAGCCAGGGCTCACAGGCTGCTTCCCTGCTCTGATATTTGGGGGGCAGTGTTGTTTACTTCCATCTGTGTCTATGTTTCTGAGTCTTTCTATGCAGTCTCTCATTCCCCTGGGGTCCTTAATGTACAATTCAGCCCGTTTAGTGACTCCCAGAAGAAATAGATTCACGCTGAGCACTCTGAAATCCTAAAGACTTTATAGAGGATGTAGAGGGATGCAGCAGTATCAGGCTGTGGAGCACATGGGCAGTCTCTCTGTCCTTACCCTCTTCCTCTCCTTCCTTTCCTAGGCAATCAGCAACAGCTGCCCTTGTCTTACACAGAGCAGTTCCGTACAGAATAAAGCCTCTTGGTCCTCAGCTTCCCTCCCTGAGACTTGTGGCTGAGTGCTCTTCATCTTAAATCAAGACCACATAAAGTTGCATCCTGATGCAGACCTGTTGGTATGACCTCCTCAGAGGAAACAGAAGTTCTCTGAGGCCACCAACCCCTTGGAGGGTGCCAGGACAGTGAAGAAGGAAGCAAATGAATCAGAAATCATTAAGGGGAGAAGGGATGTATTATCAGTGTCCTACATCATTGAGTGAGGACCTCACAGCAGGTAGAGCTCACACTCCCTCTTAACAGGCCCATTCTCAACCAAACACAGATCAGAAAAAAAACCCATCACCTCTTCTTTAACACTTACACTGACTCCAGCTTTGCCTGGGGCAAAGTCCAGGTGGGAAATGTCAGTTAATCTCAAACTCTGGAAGGTAAATATGTGAACAAGGGAGGAGACTTATTCTCTATTGCTCCAGAGAAGAGAGTCTAAGGCCAGTTAGAAAGCACAACCCAACAATCCATCCTCCCAACAGTGCAGCTAGCTTTCTTCCCTCACAGAAGAGGTTGATGTGGAAGAGAGAATCTCTGCATGGGGTGCAAGACTGGCCTGGGTGCCCCCTGGAGCTCTTACCAACTCCAAAGCACTATGAGTCAAGTACTGAGTGGCTTATTTAGCATTGATTTTTTTTTTTTTTTTTTTTAGTTTCTGCTTTACCTGGACACCCTTAAATTTCAGAGTTAATAGTATGCACCTCCTAAAGATTTCTGAAACTAGAATGAAGAAAGCTCCACAGCCCTCACTTTCTTTAGTTATATACTTACCACTGCTTCCCATAGTACTGATTACAATTCCTCAAAAGCCCTTAACCACACAGTTTCTAAAACTGGCAGGCCTGTAATTATCTATAATGGTGAGCATTACAAAGGGGCATTGTTGATTCTTTTTGTTTATTTCACACAGTAGAAACTCAAATAGTCCAACTTAGGGGCTTACTTTATTCAGTTAAAAAAAAAGAATGAAGCTGGGCGTGGTGGCGCACACCTTTAATCCCAGCACTTGGGAGGCAGAGGCAGGCAGATCTCTAAATTCAAGGCCAGCTTGGTCTACATAGTGAGTTCCAGGACAGCTGGGGCTACAGGGAGACCCTGTCTCAAAAAAGACCGAAAAAAAAAAAAAAAGAATGAAACTTAAGGACTAGAGTTAAGAGATTCTTAATTCAACTGAAACATCCCATGAAATCCTATTTATATGACAGTACATCAGGTTGTGCAGGGGTAACCTTGTAGCAAAGCAAGCACTTCCCCAAGGATAAATATTTCAGTGCAGTGGCAAGTATTTCATTCCTGTCTCTGGTATTACAAAATGTATGTATTCCAGCAGACAGTTGATATCTACCATGCAGTTTTTGTTGCCAAAGTGAAGAAATCTTCCCACTGGTTCAAAAGAAGTTTCTATCTCCAGTATCTTGACAGATGATGCAAAATTCTGAGTTTCATATAACTTTCCAACAAATGCAAATGATTGTAAGTAATTCAGAGAACAGCAGTGGAGTCGTTCTTCCTGTTTCTCTCTATGTGACTATCTTTTACTGCACGGTTTATCTTTAATTCATGATGATGTTGATGAGGATAACAACAATTAATTATGGTGACATAAATCTTATTCTCTGCTACAGTCTGTGATCTGTGTCAAGTGCTATGACATTAGGATATAGGTGCTGCTATAATCTAATCCCCTGCTGTGCTATGAATGTGAATTGTCTCCTACAGGCTCGTGTATGTGGACACTTGGTTCCCAGCTGGTGGTGCTGTTTGCAAGGCTTATGTAACCTTTAGGAGGTAGGAAGTGTGTCACTGACTGGGCCTTGAAGCTTGATAGCCTATCTTCCTGTTCACATTCTGCTTCCTGAGTGTGGATGCACTGTAACCTGACAGCCTCCTGTTTCTGCCACCATGCCTTTCCTACCTTCTGCAACATCTTCCCCACCACGATGAACTGTATCCCTCCAGAACTATAAGCCCAAATAAACCCATTCTCCCTTAAGCAGCTGTTGTTAGGGCATTTTATCACAGAAGTGAAAAAGTAACTATGACATTTCCCTTTCATAGAAAAAGACACTGAGGCCAGAGGTGAACTGACTTCTTTAAGGTCATATGCTGGTAAGCTGTATTAGAACTCGAACTTCAATTCACTGACTCTAGAGCCCATTTTTCTAATGCCTTCAACATGGTACTTCCTACAACATAAAGTTGAAACACCACTAACATACTTGTTCACGGAAATTTTCCAAAGTATAACCATGTTTTCTGAATGACTCTTTAGCGAATAAAATAAAATATGCTGCCGCAGCATATTACAACTATTCTTTCATCTGTGGGGGATGTTTTCTAATTTTTTTTCCACTCAGATCTGCCCTTTCTCTAATTTATTCAAGCTCTCTATGTGTCTGCTTCAATGTAATTAATTATAACCTTGACTTGTTTGAGACAATGTTATACATGTAACTCTTGTATAAGAAAAAAAAAATAACTAGCATTTTGGACAGAAATGCATGTTGTCAATATCAACAGATACACACAGAAAATAAATTAAACCCAGAGAAGTGCTCAGCCCACTGACTGTGCTGGCTCCTTCCTCTGCCTAGGATCAAAGAACTAAATGGTTGAGATAACTGTAAAGACTAACACTTTTATTTGGTATGAGATAACTGGAACAGAAGTCAATGACCTGCACAGGATCAGAAGGCTGGGTCTTAGAGAGGCGAGTGCTTTCAGCAGGGATGGTATCTAAACTATTATAATCTACTAATTGTATCCATATTACCATTGCAGATTAGCGAGCTTTCTTTTACAAAAGTAAAGGCTACTGGGTGCAAGGATGGAAGCAAAAACTTCACATTTCTTCCAATGGCCCCCAAAGGACAGGAGAGGAGAGACAATGGTTTGTTAGGAAACTTACGCTGGCAAGCTTGGTTGTCATCCACATAGTGCCCAGGGAAACAGGTGGTGCTGCAGGTGCCAATGTGGGTCAGAACAAGGCCACTGGCACAGGAGGAGCAGGAGAAAGGGCCTTCATTCTGGCAGGTTCTGCAGGAGGAGTGGCATCCTACAGAGGGAAAAGAGACAGAAACAACTGGGAATCAGGCGCCCTCCCTGTGATGGTTAATAGTGACAACTTGACAGGACCTGGAATCACACAGGAGGCGAAACTCAGGGCATGTCTGTGACAGAGCTTCCACATTAGGTTAATTGAAGTGGGAAGATGCACCCTAAATGTGGGCGGCACCATTTCATGGGCTGAGGTTCTAGACTGAGTCAAGAGGAGAAAGCAAGCTGAACACCAGCATTCATCTCGTCCTGCTTCTTGACTGGGGATGCAGTGTAACCAGCAGCCTCAAGCTCGGGCTACCATGATGGACTGTCCTCAAACTGTAAGACAAAGTGAACTCTTCCTTCCTTAAGCTGCTTTTCTGAGGTATTCTGTCATAGCAAACGGGAAAGTGACTAAGACACTCCCAAAGCAACATATAGAAGCGAAGGCCCCAACACAGACCTCGCTGCATTTCAGCCCTGCAGGATGCTTTGCGTTTCTTTTCATTTTGGGACACCAAACCTTCTCAGAAGTCAAAAGAAGCACCCACCCCCAGCCCCCATCCTATCTAGCACTTACTTTTACAAGCACCTCTCTCTGCATAGTGTCCAAGAGGGCAGTCAGGAACACAGTGGTCCCCAAGCAGCAGATGGCGGGCATGCTGGCACTTTAGACAGACACTACCAGTATCGTGGAGGTCAGCCACACAGTGTTGGCACAGAGGATGGCAATCTGGAGAGGGAAGGGGAGAGGAAGAGGCATGGATACTCATGACCACAAAGTCTTATCACTATACCTCAGGGCACCAGGGTTTCAATTTCAAGAGCACTGCAGCGCAGCCAGCCAGTGAGGAGCCCAGAGGCAGCATATACCGGTAAAGTAGAAGCTGAGGACCTGGACAAATCAGAGGCTTGAGGTTTTTAGTGAATGGCTGGGCCCAGCACAGAGATTCAGTTTTCATCTCTTTCCAATTGAATGACCTTCAAGTGCTAGGGCTTTCTGTGATAGCTACTTGCAAGGGGTAGAGAGAACTGTCAGACCAACAGAAGCAGCTCAATCAACATTCAACTTCTCTTCCAAGAGCAAGAGCCCTGGAGGACTGTGTGTCCTCGCCCCAGTGCTTCAGAGCAGTGTGGACTCCCAAGCCCTCCATACAACTTCTCCACGTGGCCTCCTGAGCCAGAATACAGCAATCAGTCTTTGGCATGGGGAGACAGTGAGGTTAGTAGATAATTGGATTAAGTTGCTTGAAATTTTTAGTCTTTAACTGGAGATAGTGTTATAACGAAGGGCTGTGAGGGGAAAAATCATTTTTATGACCTGATAGATAGTTCACAGCAGCTCTGTCATACCAGCTGTGATTAAAGCCATAAAACAAATTATCTTGTGCAGCCAGCACTGTCTTGTTCTCACTCATATAATAGTCATCCTTTAATAAAGAGCTCAATTGGGTTCAGCTTTCATTGTGGGCGAAGACTTCCTCTGCTCAGCTTTCAAGTGATAATTGCCCTCAGCGTCTCTTCACCATCCTTCACCAGAAGGCAGAAGAAAACCCAGACATCCTGGGTCACCCATTCAGATGGAAGAAGAGTAAAGATCCCAGATGAGAAGAAAGGAGTCTGGTTCTAGGGCTTTCCCATCTTCCTCTGTATGATGCTAAGCACTTGTTTGCACTGGCTTATGCACCACCCAGGGCCCAGATGTCTTGCTTCATTTCTTGGCCTTCCAGATCAAGACTGTGATTGAGCCTCATTTTCTCTACAACAAATCCCATATCAGTAGCACAGCATCCACAAGCCCTGCTAAAACAGGCCTGTACCCCACACTCTTGGGACATTATTTCTAACTGCTGATCATCTGCGACCATTCCCAGTGCAGGAAGCAGACCTCATCTCCATGGCAGTTCCCCCTCATCAGCAGGAAAACCTTTCCCTAGACACCCACTTGGGCTGCCCCAGAAATTAAGTCAGTGCCCTCTTCAAAAATGCTGAATCTTCTAAAGCACACAAACGAGGGCCTCTGACCTTTCTCTGAACCTTGGGAGTTTCAAATTGCAGGCAGCCTCTCACCAACATTAGAGACAATTTGTGATATCCTGGGAACCAAATGAATCCTCATTACAGCCCTTCAGTAAATTGTCAAGGAGATAACGGCACCAAAGGAAATATGAGAGAGAGGCTGTTTCCCTCTGCTGCCATGTAGCAGTGTATGACGTCCTTGTAATGTCAAGCACTTTGATCTTTTCCTCTGCCTTCTTTACGAGGGCAGGAGCATAATCCTAGGTATTCATAAAGAAGTTCAACTATTTTAGAAAACTGTTAAATGAAGGTGGTAGTATTCTTTAAGTACCTTACTGTGTGTTAAATGTGAGGATGGAAACACTCACTACTGACTGAGGCTCCATTATGTGAGACATCATGAGTGCTTCCTCCTCAAGGCAAGTATGTGCAGAGCGCCCTGGGCTCAGGCATGCAGGGAGAAGATTTGCAGGTGTTCAGTGGGCTAGAATAGTTGGAGCTACCTGAGGCTTCCTCTAGTATACAACCAGAGAACGAAAAAGAATAATCACCACAGCAACACTTTGAAGATACAGTACACCCATCTCTGGAGTAGTTTGTGGGTATAATAAAAAAGTGTTTATGGATTTGTCTGATCTTGGGACTTTCTAGAAGTTATTTGAATGAGGAGTGAAATGTGCATTCATTACTTCCAAAGGAAGCTAGGGCTGGGCTATGGATGGTCCATTCTATTTTCCCAGCAGCCGCTATGAAACCCTCACTACTCCCAAGCCACACCTCACCCACCATGCTGTGCTCTCCCTGGTCATCTGTTAACTTCACTCAGCACATGTGCATGGCACCTTCATTCATTGCCTCCAGCCTAAAACATCCTTCTATCTTTATTCATTTTTTACCTCACTTCCTTCCACTTCACAGGACTCCTTCATCAGCATTCTGAATCCTGTTCTCAATGCTCTCCCCCAGCTCTTTATTCTTTACTTTATCCAACCTCTAAACACACTCGACCACCCCATCCCCAGAGCTATTCTGTGCAAACACCCAGCTCCCTGCCTTTTCCTAACCATCTGTTATTGGCTTGGAGGTAAAACGTCCTTCACAGTCTCATGTGTTTGAACTCTCATGTGTTGCTGCTGTTTGGGGAGGTTGTAGAAGCTTTAGAAGCAGGACCTAGCTGAAGGTAGTGCATTGCTGGGTTTGGGAGGAGGGGGCCCAGAGGTCTATCTAGCCTGGCTTCTAGTGCCAGTTTATCTGATTCTTGGTCACCAGATGTGAATAAGTCACCACCCTCTCCTGCCACCATGAAGCTAATTGCCACAATGTGTTCCCCACCATGATGGATTATATCCCCTCAAACTGTGAGCCAAAATAAAATCCTTCCTCCCTTGACTTGCTTCTTGTCATATATTTGGTCACAGAGAAAATGAATAGATCATCCAGCCTCCTTCCGTCCTGAATTCTCTACCTTTCTGTAATCAAACTTCAGCTCCACAACTCTGCTTGCTTTTGAAAAGGTCTCTGATGGATTCTAAACGACAAAACTGACTAGCTTCCTCTAAGGCTTTATCCTACCAGAAATACCTGCACCATATGGCACTTTTGACCAACCAGTCTTACTCCTTGAAGCCCTCTTTCTACTCCAACATAATTTATCCTGGTATAAAACTTGATGGTAAGACCCTACTGCTGCAAGACACTATATACATGTAGAGCAAACAAGGAAAAATCAAGTTTGTGCTGACTTCAAAGCTTCATCTCAACAGCCTAGCTTTCGTGGTGCTGGAAGGCGCTATGGATGCTACCAGAAGATAAAATTAATCATCAACCTTACCCAGCTGTGACTCCTATGTGCTACAACAACCATTGGCCTGGGAAGATATGCCCAATGGTATAATAGTGGCATGGATATTAGGGGAGTAATCAATCACTTTCTAATTGGATTTAAGGTCTACTTCATAAGATGCAGCCCATATCTGACATTGATATCAGACCTAAAATTTGTGGCTAGACAGGTCCAAGGCCATAAGGAAAGGCCTGAAATTATTATTCTGATAAAAAGACATAGTATTAAACTGACTCCTAATGACTTATTGTTATACCCATAGATTAACACATCTCTCAACTCTCACCAGAGAAGTTCCCTATGCAGATGGCTATTAACACAGAAACCCACAACTGGCCAATGTGCAGAAAATAAGAGGCTGCAGAGCGTTTATCCATAAATGGGTCACCTATATCCACCTTCTGTCCCCAAAGGCTCAGAAATCATTATGGAAGAGGGGGTGGAAAGACTGTAAGAGCCAGAGGTGGTGGATGACCACAAGGAAACAAAATTTTTCACACGGCTGGTCAGTTACTCATATGAACTCACAGCAATGGTGACAGCAGGCACAAGTCCTACATAAACTCAAGTCGGATAAAATCTCAGCATAGATGTAGGTAAGAAACCCCAGCCCTACCAGAGGAAGTATTGGCAACCAATGGCTACTGGGAGGGAGATCGTCAATCTCATTTAAGGAGACTCTTGTGGGTTAACAAGGTTCCAGTGGATGAATCCACACTAAAGGGCATTTGGGGACACATATTTGACTCTGTAGGCCTTAATAGACAAATGTAGAGTACATGAAATTGGGTGGAGTTAGTAAAAGGGGAGATTAGATTGGGGAGGGGATCTAAATATGAATAAAATATTGTAGGAAAGTTACAAAATTTCAGTAAGAAAAAAAGTCTGATGTGTTGGCTCATACCTGTAATCCTAGCACTTGGGGGGCTGAGGCAGGGGACTGCCTTGAGCTTGAGCCTAGCCTGTGCTTTGGTCCCAAGCTAACAGGGACTACAAAGTTAGGCCCCATCACAGAAAACAAACAGCAGGCAATAGCTTGGAAGAAACAATTTTTACATACAAAGATATTTTCATTATACAATACACTGTATACAATGTATATAAAGAAATCCTACTATTAAGTTAATATGGATAAGAGATAGTCAATATATATTTAAAAATCTATGGACATAAAAATGCACATCTTGTCAACTCCTATGGAAAGCAGTATGGAGAACTCTTAAAAATCTACAAATGAACCTACCATTTGACTCAGTTATACCACTCCTTGGCATATGCCCAAAGAACTCATCCTATTGCAGAGACACTTGTACATCCATGTTTGTTGCTGTTCTTTTCACAATAGCTAAGAGATGGAAGCAACCTAAGCATCCCTCAGCTGACAAGTGGGGCCATCCCAGGATTATGCTCTAGATCTAGACTCTATGGGTTTGTTCCCAGAGACTCCCCATGTGGCAGCAAAGCCCCTCAAGAAAAATCAGGGGATGCAGAAGCATTCTGAGAAGCAATGGAGGAGGAAGGGAGACTAGAAGAAAGGAACATCAAAGAAAAGGGAGAAAGGATGGGATTTAGCTCTGACAGTGGGGTCTTCAGAGCAAAACTCCACTCCAATGCAGGTCACCAAAGAATTAGAAGATAATAGCCCATTATATGACACCATGGAGGTGCCAAGAACAGTAGAAACAGGTGTTAATAAGGGAGATATGGACAATAATGGGGTTATTTTAAGGGGAGGGGTGAGGGAGGGTTATACAAGGAACCTTGGGAATAAAGGGAAAGAAGGAGCTCAAGAGAGGTGGGACCATAGGAGAAGGGTATTGTTAAAGGAGAAATGGGAAAAACGGGGGCACCTTAAATGGGGAAACCATGGT